TTCCCTGGGCACACTGTCACGGGGTGCACGAGCACCACCATGCCCATGCTCCCTCAGAAAGGCCATCATCCCCCCACTGCTGCCTGCCTGGAGCACACTCTGCCACCACACCGGAGGCTGCTTGGGATGCTCTTCTCCCTGGGGCCCTTTCACTGCCAGAAGGGCAATTTGCAAGCATTATGGGTTTGATTTCTGAAATTATTTGTTTTCCCACTACTGAAAAATATTAAATTTTAATTGCTATTTTTTTGTGAAGTGAGTGGGGATGGTGCAGGCTGGGTGGAAAAAATTATAGTGAAGCAAAGAGCTGACGTGAGTAGAACAACAGAGGGCGCTAAACACTCGGCGCTCCCCCAAAAGTAGGTGATAAATGAAGCAGTCTTCTGGGATGAGAGCTCACTGCTGGGTTTCAGTGCTCCCGAGCTGTCCTCAGCAGGCTCCTGGGCAGTAGTGCCCTGCATAGAGCAGCACCCTGCCCTGGCACCTGCATCCACAACAGATCTCCTCCCCTGCCAGGACACCACATCTACACTGCAACCTTTCTGAGGACTAAACCCACCTGACAGCCCTGCAAGAAGCAGGTAATGTCTTTTAATTCTTCCCACACCAGTGTGTGGCAGTGTGCTCTGCACTCAAGGTGTGTATTCTCACCTCTCAACTGAAGTGCCAGCCGGGGCTGCCTGCTTGATGAATTGTGGGTCTCTCCTCAGCTGCATACAGATGCCTCAGGTTCCTCCTGTTTTCACGGCTGTTGTGCCTCACTGTTTTACAGCCACATGAGTCATTCAGTGGGTTCTTCATCGCTTGCTGTGGTTTCATGCCAGTGCTTCTCACCATGCCTGTTCCACAGGTGTGGAGACACTTGGCTCTGGGCACGCTGTGGCATAGGACCTTGGGAGCCACCAGTGGCTCTGGGCTTACTTGGAGGATCCAGTGGAGCTGGGATGCCCAGCTGCAGGGCTCAGCTGCTCCTCAAGGCAGTGCTATGTGTGCAGAACGGCTTTTTCACTGTGGGATGACTATGGTAGTCTAGCAAGGAATGGCTGCAGGGTAGGTGGTATCACAGTACAGCCAAGGACCTGCGAGACTAAAGCCCAAGAGAGCCAGGACACTGGCTGTTGGTTAGTTCTTCCATAAGTTCCACCCTAATAATGTCTGTGTCCCTGTGGTTCGGTAATGCTGTGTCAGTTTTGGTGCTGGGCAGGTGCTGTGCTTTCCTCTGTGGTTGCCAGATCAGTCTCCCAGTCTTGGACACTAAAAACAGTTAATATAGTTTATGCAATCAAACATTTTCACTACAGTTTAGATGTTGATGCTTAGAAGCTGCTGACCTATAAGGCCATGTACTTGTTAGAGACTGTAGGAATCTGGGCATTTTCCTTTCCTGCCTTACTGTAAACACGAAGTCTGATGCACAGCCTCCTGGCTGGCAGCAGAGACCCCTGAAATATTTAAAGGAATTTCAGGAGATAGTCTAAGCTCTTGGATGCATGTTTTCTGCTCTAGCAACATTTTGGCTTCCTTTTTTGAAGGCTGAGATCAGACATTTGCACTTACTTTCCCTTCTGTCTCTGGAGACCTGTTACCTGCTGGGGCTGGTGGTACCCATGCTGAGCTAGTCCTCTATAGCATCCTGCAGTGAAAGGAGAGGGTTCATGCTCGAGGCAGCCTGCAGCAGTGTTCCCACCACCTCCGGGAGTAAAATCACCTGAGCTATGCACGGCTGGAAGGGCTCAAGTGTCCTCTGCAGGTTCACATGCCTAGCATGACCCAAAGCAAACCTATGGGGTGGCTTCAGCAGCAAGGCAAGGGCCTTGGAGGGCAAGAGGGGAATGCTGCTCAGTTCTGCTGCAGGCTGCCCTTAAGTTCACTGATAACCACAGCAGCAGCAAAGACAAGGGACCACAAAGATTATCATTCTGCTTTGCAGACTCTTTGCTGTTACCCAAACTGTGCAAACCAGGACTGGAGGGAGGACAAGGCAAGCTTACGGTTGGAGAGGGGCTGCTACCCCGTAACAGCAGCAGGAGAGGTCTGCCTCTATGTTTTTGTGTTAGTTGGTTGCAAGGGACAGTGGTACTTGGATGGCTGAGGGACATATGGTGCTGATGAGCCACCAAGCACCTCGGGGCTGCCTACATATGCAGTACAGGGGTGCAAGGGGCTGCAGAGCCATAAGAGTGGGGGCACTGCAGCTGGACCTAACCCAGAGGACTCATCCCCAAGCTCAGTCTCATGCCTGCACCCTTTTCTTGCAGAGAGCTCAACATGGAGAACTGCACCAAAGATGACAAAGTGCTGGAGAATGGTGTCATGCTGCTTCAACAGATCATCTACATCCCAGTGCTCTCTTTGGGAATCCCACTGAACATGATTGCCTTCTGGGTTTTCTGCTGGAAACTCAAGAGGTGGACTGAGACCAGGGTGTACATGATCAACCTCATGGTCGCAGACACTTTCCTGCTCTTTGCCCTGCCTTTCCAATTATATTTTAAGAAATATAATCAACCCATGGACAAGCTGTGCTTAACTATAAGCAACATATATTTTACAAACATGCCTATGAGCATCCTTATCATCACCCTGATCGCGATTGATCGATATGTTGCAATCAAGTTCCCTCTAAAAGCAAAGATTCTTCGATCCCCACTGAAATCGGCTTCTATCTGCATGTTTCTTTGGATAATAATGATAATTTATTCCTACTTGCATTCAAAATTTTATGGTAGAAAAGAACAATTCTGCTTTCAGAAGCAATCTACTGAACTTAATTATTCATTGTTACTCTCCATCACCTTTGGGTATTTTATTTCCTTAGGGATTGTGATGTTTTGCTCAATACAAGTTATCAAATGTCTCAAAAAGAAGTTGGCCACGAGCCCTCATGATACAAAGTTAGTCCAGAAAGCAATCCACATTGTTTCTGTGAATCTGTGTGTATTCATCATATGTTTTTCACCTTTCTACATCACACTGCTCTTGTGGTTAGCAGTGGATGTTGCTGAAGCTCATTCCTTACTCTCGAAAGTTAGAGCCTCTCTGGAGATCTGTTCATGCTTGGTGAATTCTAACTGCTGTTTGGATGCATTTTGCTATTACTTTGCAGCCAAGGAATTCCAGGAATTTCCTTCTCTGTTCCCCACTTGCATAACAAGGAGGTCCAAGATGAGCCAAAACCAAGAGTCACAGCCACGCACAGATCAAGTCATGATATAAAACCACATGACATAAACACCACAACACCAGGTGCTGAAGTTTCAAGGCAGAGGGAATGGGACCACCTACAGTATTTGCAAGCATTAGAGGTACAGGCACACCTACAAAAAGGGGCAACCCCCTCCAAGGGGTCTGATATTAACTTGAATATTGTATTTCTGTTCTCAGTGACTCCAGCTCTGACTGCTTTCTTGGATAGTTGTATTGCAGCTCCAGGCATCTCATGGTCAAGAGGGAGAGCCACGTGGTATGTGGAACCAATGATAAGACCAATATTTCATGCATCAGCTTATTTGTACATATCATGCAGCTGAACATAGGAAATGGAGCACCCTGACAGCAATACACAAATCCCCTTCTAGTACTGTAATACTTGTGGTAACTTAAAAACAAGAAAAAGCCCCTGCCAAACCTGTTACATCTGTGCTGCTTGCATCAAAGAATTTGCTTGTGCCATGGCAGTTTCCTGCCAACCTATATAATTTCAAAGCTTGCAACTATTACCAGGATGCAGCTCTACTGTGCATGGAGTAAACCACAGGAGTCAGACAGCAGCATAAATATGTTGCTCCATTCTTGCCATGTAACACTTGTATTAGCTTGTGGCAATGTCCTGGCATTTGAGAGACTAAAATAATTTGGGGTATAAATAAAGCCATTACTGCATGGAAAAACTGAGCTAGGCAAAGCATTGTGGATCACAGAATAGACCCTGAGCATTATGAACATCAAGTAGAAAGCTGCAAAGATCTGATTTCACCCAACCAACTACCACAAGCCCTGGTGACAGGTCTGCTGTTGTACTTCAATGGGGTCCAAACTTCAATGGTTTTCCTCTCTGGTGAGAGGTGATTGCATCTGCTTGAGTTGTCACAGCCTCACACTGCAGGAGTGTTGATGCCCAGAAAACAGCAGTGAACAACAAAAGAGATTCAGCCCTGATCCCTCCCTCACCATCCATGAACTGTTTTCAAGGCAGGTTTGGTGACAGTGGGGTGTGTAAGGCCCTTCTGCAGAGAAAGCAGAAACAGCTGAGGGGTTCTCAGCATTGCTCTGTATAAAGAATCATTGATTTGAATTTGTGGGGGATTTTTTCCTTCCAGCTGCTTGGACAGCGCACAGTGAGGGTTCAACAGCTCTCCTCTACCCATTTTGACAGATTTCTTTCCATGCATTATACAGAGAGTCTTAATCTATCTTAGCTGGATCACAGACCAGGTGTAAGTTTTAATGTCAGACTTCCAAGGTACCAAATTCCTCTATAATATCTGTACTTGCTCATTATGCACCACAAATTCTCCTACCCCACAGGCAAGTGACAGCAGAGCAGCTAAAAAAAGTTAAGCCACAAAGGGAGGGCTCAGGAAGGAAGCGACCCATAGAGAAACTGGGGCTGAGAGGGAGTGCCAGGGCACATTTATTTGCATCTAATGTTTTATGACACAGTCACTTCAGTAACTTAAAGTCAGCATGGGAAGATGTTTTTTTAAATGCATGTGATAGCTGTACCTTGGTTGGCTTCACATCCTTGACTTTCAGTGTCTTCTGACTTTTAAATCCCTAAAATATTCCTCCAGGGAATGCAAACCCATATTCTGCTAATTTATTTAGTGATGACTTACAAATAGTTCTCCTACAGGTGGCCTGTCACCTTCTAGTGTCTACAGACCATATGCTGAAACCACTGTCTAGACATTGGACAAACAACACAGGGAAAGGCTATTCTCAGCACAGCAGGTACTACCCATCCAGCTGTTAGCTCCACCTGCTTTGTGTCAATACTTAAGCAGAGGTCCCAGCATGATGGAAGCTGCAGGGAGCAACTGCAGCAGAAAAATGGATGAAACTGTTCAGGTCATTCCATCGATCATTTATGTCCTAATTTTCTTCATTGATATATTGTTTATGCTCTGGCATTACTGGTATTTCAGCACAAGCAGAGCAAAAGGGCCATGTCTATATTGCACACTGTTTTTTGGCCCTCATTCTGCCTTTTAAAGTCTATTTTCAAAGACAGGAAAAGATATGAGATAATAGTGCCTGATCTTAAAAACCATTAATTGCTTAGGGAGATGTGAGTGTTGTCACTCTTGCAGCTGTCAACAAATATGCTGCAGTTAACTCTCCTCAGAGAGTAGGAAGTTTAGCATCCCTATCAGCCCATTCTCCCTTATCCTGCCCTGTCAGCCTGCATGGCAAGCATCACCTGTGTTCTGAGCTATCTTGTCTAGTAGCAATCTGTACCAGGAGAACAGGATAACCTCAGGAGAAGGGCTTGCTTTGGCTGGGAAACAATCTCAAGCAGGACATCAGGAAGAGCTTACAAGGGATGGAAAAACAATTCTGCTGAACAGAAATGAGTCTTAGAGATCAAGAAGTATAAGAATTACATGAGTCTTATCAAATTCTTCCATTAGATATGAAAAGCTTCCCACATACAAAAATTACAAGCAAAGAAGTGAGATTACCCAGTACTGCTGCTGATAAAAACAACAAAACTGTCCAGATGTTTCCTGAAAACCACCATATCACTTTGTTACAGCTTTCAGTAATGAGAAAAAAGCTGAGAAGTCCAGAACTTTAAAGGAATCAGCACATGAAATCTCACACCAGCAATAAGGCTTTTAAATAAGTCAGCCGAACCAGGATCAAGGGTCAGGGAGCACTAAACACAGTCTCTTCTCCAGGGCAGAGGAAGAAGAAAAAGAGCCTGGCCAGTAATAGCTCTACCATGCTCATACATGAAAAACACACAGTTTTGCAGCGTGTCTGAATAACATTTGATGGGAGGGAACAAATAGAAAGGCAAAAGTGAAGTGGTGCTTCACCTTACAGGAGTATTTTGCCTCACCTTCCTGCACTAAGAAAAGGACCTTTCCAGCCAAGGTGTGGTAGGCAGGGGGGTCACTAAAGGTCCTTTGGAGCACACTGTCAGCAGTAACACTGGTTGTACAGACACTGGTCCCCCAGAGTGCCCCACCAGAGCTGCCTGCAAGGAAGTGAGAAAAACAGCATGAGTGTCACCTGCACTGCACCACGTGGTGACAGCATTCTCAGGGCTGAGACAGGCTGAAAAATGCAGAGGCAGGGGAAATACCGAGTTAGCATCATTGGTCCATGACAGAGGTAAGAAAAACTGCAACTGGATGGAAGAAGGCAGCCGTAAGCAGCTGCAAGAGCCTAGAAGGTGGCTGATGGGGAGCCGAGGTAGAGACGCATGAGGATCCTGACCCAGTGATGCCCAGGAATCAGAGAGGGACCTGAGGGTTACACCAAAAGACATGTAAGTTATCCACAGATAACACTTCATTCTTCTTCACCTACTGGTAGCTAGTGCTGAGTTGCTCTGACACACCCTGGTGAACTTGCTGATCACAGCCAGCTTCTTTGTCCCTCGTGATTGGGTTTGTCCCTCCCTTGAAGCCTCACTGGGCTGATGGGAGATGGAGCTGCCCTTGTCTGTTCACCATAGCACCAAGCTATGGATAAGAAGTATCACACTGGAGAGATGATATCAGCTGAGCTCCCTACAGGTTTCATTTTAACAGGCACCAAGTTATGGATAAGAAGTATCACACTGGAGAGATGCTATCAGCTGAGCTTCCTACAGGCTTCATTTTAACTGCTCATGGTTAATACCAATAATGATTGCCTTGAGATAGAAAATAGAAGCATGTGGACAACACTTGAGGATGATGAAGTATTTTGTGAAGTATTTTGTGTACAGTGGCAGAAGTATCACAAGCCAGGAGCTGGATGACCAGGAGCTGTCTGAAAACAAGGACCATGACATTAAAATTATGGTGGCTGGGGATCAACGAGTCAGATGGACTAATAAGCCAGTACCTATAAACATAGACCAAGAAGCAGTCACAAGAAAGGCAAAAGTAGTCCCTGGAAATTCAGAAGTATTTAAGCTAAGCTCTATACTGACTATATATTGGCAAGGAATTAATCTCAAAGGCTGGTTTGTAATCCATAAATAATGTAGAAATACTCCTGAAACTCCTCTGAGATGACCTGGAAAGCATGAAGGGGAAATGTGTTTGCCCAAGACAGCAATTCAAGGTCCTCACAACACGGACCCTTGAGCTTGTTGACCAACTTGTCTAACTTCTCCTTGTAGTCGGTTGCAACGGACAGCCAAGGAGGAGCTACTGGCCAGGAGGCACCTGCAACAGCAGAGCAGTGACAAAGTCAGAAGGTCACAGGGTCACGGTGTCACGTTCTCACAGAATTGCTGGCTGATGAGAAGTATGGATATCAAGATAATTACCATGAATCAGAGTGAAACTCAGTTAGAATAATCACAAAACTGTCTGAGAACCACAGCCCTCATGTTTCCAAGAGCTCTGTGAATGGGACTGGGGGCCTGCTGGGGCTGCTCTGTCTTGGGACTCAGCCAGTCCCTGCTCCAGCACCAGCAGGAGTGGCAGCCTAGAAGGCCAGGAGAAGACCTCAGGACCCTCTAAAGCAATGGTTTCCCTCCAAGCAATGTGCACAGCCTGTTAGGTAGGAAGGTCAATGGACATTGCCCAATGAGACAGGAGGCACTGGCCAGTAAATCAAAGGAAAAACCCAAAGCCATTCCATCGCCAGAGGAACTGCTGCAGGGCCACATGGCAGAGGAGCATTTCACCTCACTGCAGGGCTATTGCTTGCTCCTCAGTCAAGGGAGGGTGGTACAAGCCACGCCAGTGGTGACAGAGGAAGCTCAACCCCAGAAAAATGCGTTGAGGAGGGGTGGTGGTGCTTCCTTCACCAGCATTGCTGGTGCCACAGCTGCTAGCAGGTGGTCATCACAGGACTTCTCGTCAGCCACAAGCCAGGAGCAGTGCTAGGAGGGCTCATTGTGCATGCATGCCCCACCACAGCTGGTCTGGAGGAACATTCACTCTCACCGAGGACACCGACTGAGCAGGTAATTCTTCCTGCCTATTTGCTGACCTGGTTATTTGAGCTCTGCAAGGCACTACCTTTCCCCAGCCACAGTGGGACACCAAAATGGTCATGGAGAAACTGAGAGGAGGTTGGAGACTATGTATTTTCAAAGGCCTATTTTGATACTGGTCACATTAGGCAGGTTTTGAATGCTTAAGGGCCGTCTCAGCCTCTGCTACATCTCCCCGTCAGCTCAGATGACCTATGCTTATTTCTTCTGGTCTCCTAACTCATTCCTTGTGTCCACAGCACAGGGATGCTATACATATCAGCTGTAGCACATTCCCTCACCTCTGAAGAGGTTTCCTGGCATGATTCCTCAGCAGTACAATTTTCAAAGCCAGCTGAGAGCTGCAGCTGCACATAGATGCTGCAGCACTGCCCTATGGTTTGCTCGCTCGGGATGCTTTTGAGCCCTGGGAAGATGTACCCATAGAGCCATGTTCCCCTTGCAGGGAAAATCCTGAGACATGTCAGACCTCCTGGGTCTTTACTGTCCATGAACATTTGCGCCTGGAATATATGCCTATCGTAACTCCTCCAAAGCAGAAGGACAAACAGTAATACTGCCTTTGGATCCAGGCAGATAACACCACCCAAGTGACCAGATTCAGCTCATCTCTCTATTTTAGGTGGCTGCTGATCACTTTTCTTGCCATGACATTGGTGGGGTTTTTTTGTCTTGGAATGTGGCACACTGCTCTAATTCTTCTGAGACAAAGTCCCATGTTCAAAATCCTTAAAAGGCAGGATGTATCCCTGGTACTCCAATCCTTGCTGCAGACCACTAAATGCTATCACTGAGCATAGGAACCAACGGCAGCCAAAAATAATGAGAGATGTACTAATAATTGCTTTTATCGCTAATGAGAAATACAGAGACAGCTCAGGACCAAAAGACAGGACAGCTGTCCTTTTGCAGTACATCTCCAGGAGCATTTTGAGTTGTAAGGATGCTGGCTGGCTTCTCCTTAGCACTGCTAGAAGGAAAGGGATGAAAGCTGGGTTTAAGCATCCCCTTTCCATTTCCAAATGGGTTGTAACAGCTCACATACCTTTAGCTGTGGGATACCTGCTTCTAACTGTGAGATACCTGCTTCTAGCTGTGGGATACCTGCTTCTGCCTGATCTAAGTCTGGCTGAAAACAGAAGCCCAAGCATTTTCCCCTGATGCCCTCTACGAGCAGCCATTCCTGCATGGCACCCAGTGAGAACATGGTGTGGTGGAGAGAATGTTCTCTCCTCCAGAACTGACCGGACTTGTGTCCCTCTCCCTCCCTTCCTACTTGGTGCCACACAGACAGCTTTGTGCTACAAAGTCATCTCCACAGTCTCGTTTTCACTCGTGGTAAAGCCCTGAGCTATCTGAATTAATCACAGATTCACTCCAGAGTCTAGCTTCTAAAAGGTTTAATCTGCTTTTGCAGGAACTGTGCCTCTTAATTCTCCCAAAATGAACCTCAGCACTTGCAGTGTCACAGCCTATGAAAGCTTTCCACTGGTCCAGCTGTGTATTTACACCCCAGTTTTGCTCTTGGGCATTTTGCTGAACGTCTTGGCATTGTGGGTGTTCTGCTGCAAACTCAGCAAATGGACAGAAACCAGAGTATACATGGTCAACTTGGCTGCTGCTGACTGCCTGTTGCTCTTTACTTTGCCTTTTAAAACTTTATCCCAGTTCCATCAGCTGAAGGTAGGTCGATGGTGCCTGGTTCTGGAAGGTGGCTACTTCATAAACCGCTTAATGAGCATTGGTATTGTCACTGTCATAGCAGCTGATAGGTATGTTGCCATCAAGTACCCTTTGAAAGCCAAGGAACTGAGATCACCACTGAAGGCAGCTTTTGCCTCTGGATTTCTCTGGATAGTCATCATCTTTGTGGTGTCTCTTATTAAAAAGCTAGAGGACCGAGTACAAGATGAACTGTGCTTTGAAAAATCTTCTGCTGAGCCCTCAGTGATCACCCTGTGCGCTATTATCGTGGGGTTTTTCATACCACTGATCATCCTAAGCTACTGCTCCATACAAGTCATTGCAGAACTCATGAGAAAGAGGAATGAAAACTGTCACAAGGAAAAGTCAGTAAGGAAGGCTGTCTACATCGTGTCTGCAAACATGGCTGTGTTCATCATATGCTTTTTGCCTCTTTACCTTGGGCACCTCCTTCGCTTTATAATGGACTCCACCAACTCCAACTGCTCTTCAATACAGAGAGTGAACAATTTTGTTCACCTCGCCTCAGTCCTCGCAAACACCAACTGCTGCCTGGATGCTATTTGTTACTATTTTGTCAACAAGGAATTTAAGGAAGCATCTCCCAAGCTAACAAAATCCAAATATGAAGCCACTGAAGAAGCTGAAATTCAGCTCCCATGTATAACACATTAAGGCAAAACACATGCAGCACACGTTTTATACTTGCTATGTTCAATTGGGACTCAACAGCAGGTTTTCACACTTGCTTTTTTGGGGAGTGGGACAGAGAGCTCTTCTGCTAAAGAGAAAGATGAAAGGTACATGAAAATTAGCCCTGATTCAGACTTCCATGGCAGTCCGGATCCTGAGATAATGATCTAGGCTGCCACTGGTAATTTTCTGCCTGTGCACATTTGAGTAAAAAGATAGATTTCCCCTGCAAAAATTGTCCTTTCTTTTGCCCCCCAGAAAACCCAAACCAAGTACAGCTCGGGGTACAAGGGATTTCTGCCCCTTCTCCCCACCTCAGATCAGTTTTTACGCAGCTGTAGCTGTGACAAAGAAACAGAGGTTACTCCAAATATCAAAAAAGAAAAAAAAGTAAAAATGAAACCACAGAAAAAGAAAGGAGGATATTTCATAAGTCACTAACGTCTTGGTTTTTGGTTGTTAACAATGTACAATCAGAGTATCAGAGATAGATTTTGTCTGCTTTAGACAAGTCTACAGCACCACACACAACAGCTACAAAATGGTCATCAATCGCAATACAAAGTCAGAAGAAATTGCAATTGCCTGTACTGGGGAAAATCTTTACATCAAGAGCACTGGAGGCAAATGGCATGAAAGCTACTGTCCAAAGACCTGGGGGACAGGTGATGGGAATAAGGACTATTAGGGTACTATTCAACCTTATAAAGTAAAGGACTGTCTAAAGAAAGTGGCAGCCAGTTGTTCAATGCATCCAGTCGAAATAAAGTCATGTTACTGGCACAGAGTGCAGTCTCTTAATGAGTTACATGGAAAGGTGGGGAACTGGGTGGTATGGGATCTGCTTTACTGCCTGTCCCCAAAAGGGACAGCTCACCCCCCAGCTGTCCAAGCTAAGGACACAGGGTATGAGCTGCAATGGAGACTGGGATTTGAAAAGGGAGAACAGTGCCTGTCACCCTGCAATGCACTTACCCACAACAAGCTCAGTAGGTAAAAACCACTAGTGAGCCCCTTTGTGTTGATGCTCAGACAGCACCCACATACCTCAGGATGGGACGTACAAGGCACATACCTCCACCCATGTTTCCTGACCCTGGCCTGGGCTGTCATTCGCATGTGCTGGGCCAAACCCTGCTGCCACCTCTATGGTCTTACAGGCCCACGTGCAGCTCAGCCGTTGCACCTCCTCCTACTCAAGGCACATGCCAAAAGGAAGAAACCCTGTAAAGAGAGACCTCAAGTTGCTGCAGGCAACTTGAGAAGAGCCCTCCCACTGCCCAGAAAAGCCCATGCCACCTGCACAGGACAACAGCAAAGCCCTGACACCTTCTCAAGGGGTTGCAGGCTTCTCACTGTGCTTCCCAGAGATTTAGGCAGAAAGGGGGAAATCTGCTCTGTCATCACAAGAAGCTAAGCATAGGACTTGGCCTTTGCTCACTGCACAATGGGGAGGGGGGGTAGCAGAGGCTCTAGTCACAAATAAAACCTTTTAAGGAGGTTGGTTTTTTCCACCCTTTGACCTTACATTTTCTTTGAAGAGATCAAAGCAGCAAGGCCTGGTGCTGTGCATGCAGAGATGGGAGTCTCCTCCCAGCTCAGCTCAGGGTGCAGCATTGCCCCAGCTGCAGCAGTGCTCACCCTCTCCCTTGCCCAGCCCTGCGAGCTGCTGGGCCTCCTGCATCTCTGAAGTAACATATTCACCTTTGTGACTTTAATTTGATGGACTGCTCCCAAATAAGGCTAAGCACACCTTTAAGATTTCCCCCGGTATGAGATTTGTGTGCTGAGAGCACAGCAATTTGGGACAATACTCAATGGGTAGTGTGTTTTTTCTGGACCTC